TTTTATGTGCCCCCTTTCATTCATCCTTTTCATTCATCTTTTTCATTCATCCTTTTCACTCATTCTTTTCATTCATCTTCTTATTCATAATGAAATAGTGTATCAATATCGTTCATAACTATAAATATATAAAAACTAAAAAGTACGTCTGCAATAATTATTAATAAAGAATCCTGGTTAGCTTGAAATGCCCAATATAAAAAATAACCTTCCTTCTCATCCCTTTTACTGCCGTTTTAGTGGAGGCTAATAAATACTTTTATTTTAGTGTAAACTTCTTAGTTTGGGAACAAAACATTTCAAAAATGTTTGTCCTGCAAATTTCTTATTGCATATTTAAAATCAAATATCTAAACGAAAGGAAAATGAAAGTTTAGTTTAAAACTATAAAATATTTCTTCAAATTGTGAAAAATGTGGGAAGTGCTTATTTTTGTCCTTGGCAGTTTAGTTCTTGGCAAGCACATCAGAGCTGTTAAGCTTGACCCTTGACAAAAATAATAAAATTTGTCAAAATTTTAACAGTTTCAGTTACCTTTCCTAGTAATCTTGGTCTCCATCCCTACCCCCCACCTTCCCAGTAAGATCATAAAATAAACACAATAGTATTAAACTGTAAAGTATTGATAAAAAATTAGGACATTTTTCTATTAATCTCATCAACTCTTTCTTAAAATTAAAATAACATTAAATTCTAGCAAAATTGAGACAAATGAACATGATTATTTTAATAGGGTTGGACAAATTTGTTGTCTAGGGGGTTGACCAAATGACTCCTCTTAAAAAAAAACTAATTTGCCCCAGGGTTAGTTAGACTTACATTCTTTTTTGTTCGGCTTGAGTTTAATTAGTATTGTTTGTGGGGACATGGCAACCATGTTCTTTCACACATTTTAAACTAAGAGAATTTTAAATCCAATTAGATGGTTATATCACAATTTGACCCCTTATATATAATTTTATAGCCTTTTTTCTTAGATACTTTTTTGTCTGCATATAAGCTTTGAATGAAAAGTATAAAAATAAACGAATCCGTAAGTTTAAAGGTTGTTGAATTATAGACCAAAACACGTTTGATTTCAAATAAAAGAAACCGAGTGCTTCAAACTCTGCTTAGTCCAGGGTGCCCCCCCCCCTCCCTGAAAGTTATAATATCTCCACCCAACCCTTCCTGTTTTCCCCTCCCATTTTTTTTTCATATTTTCGCTAAAAGCAAAAATTTAGCTTTTTCATCCATTGTGAAATATATAGTCGTGTCGTGTAAGTAATGTATTTTGGTTAGATTATTCTAGCCAAGTATGTTACTGTATAATTTATGTTTATATATGTAGAATGCATACAACCATTCGGAATATGTACTGGATGTCACATAAAACCTACAATCTCTTAAAAATTATAATTAAAACAGGCCTTTGGACCGTTGCTTTGGACCAATAATAGATACGAATATGTTTAATGTTTTGTGACACCCTTTTTTGGGGTGAAAAAGAATTATTCTTGTATTTATATATTTATTTTGATATTTAATTGTTGTGTGCATGTGAATAATTGTTATATATGT